TATTCTCGCTACTCTCCAAAAGAAAAGACTGATACAATTATATTAATAAGCTAAGAGGTAAACAACCAAATTATAGATAATCTTCCTGCTTTTTCTTTCAGCATAAAACTGCATCATTATCTGTCTATATTTCTGAGATGAGGTATTATGTACATTGTTTACATTATTCGGACTATTTTCCTCATCTTAGTCACAATATTTATTACAACGTTTCGGCCGTTGTACGCACCGTCCTTCTTCAGGTGGTTGTAACGTCGAACTGAACCCTTTATTTCGCCCACTGGGGTAGACTGTTCTAGTTCCACGTGCCATGTTTAATGGCTGTCAGTTATCAGTTATTTCCTGTTAATTCCCCTCTCCAAGTTCTCAACTGCCTTAACCGGGTGTTGAACTCACACTCTTTGGGTCCTGTCAATGGATCTAACTAATGCCTTTATCCACTGTGCTATGTGTCCTTGAGTAATTTAATAGTTGTGTATTTGGGCTGAACTGAACCCTTTTATTTCGCTCGCTGGGGTAGACTGTTCTAGTTCCACGTGCCATGTCTAATGGATATCAGTTATCTCCTGTCAATTTCCTGTGAAAGTTCTGCACTGCCTTAGCCGGGTATTGAACTCACAATTTTTGGGTCCTGTCAGTGGATCTAACTTGATCACCGGAGTTAAGCAACGTCAAGCCTGGTCAGTCAATAGTTGGATGACCACTTGGGAATACCAGGTGATGTAAGCTTGGGGTACTCAAACATTTGTGCCGACGTGTATGTCACACTCGTTATCGTAATGTGATAAATATATTTATATTTATTTACTGCATTAATTTATAATTTTTTGTCTTTTCTTTTTTTTTTGGCAGGCTTTTCTTATTCTATTCTGTATATATTTTGCTACAGCAGAAATCTTAAGCTTTTACGATATGAAATATCTTTCAATTTCGCTTTTAATGATCATTATCTTAAAGGGATGAGCTAGCATTTACCTTACTGTTAAATATGAATTTAAAGAATTAGGTTCGTATTTGAACCTAATTCTTTAGATATTTTTAAAAATACTAATTTCCATAAGAAAATATTGAAATAAGAAAACTTTTAACTTTAGATTTAGATTTAGTAATTTAATCACTTGTAATTCAATGGTAATTATTAGTTCTATTCTAGCTTATAATGCTACTAATTAAAATACTTAAAGTATTCCTTGTTACTAATTTTTACTTGTACTTTTCGGTGAAATGTCCGACGGCCAAATGCCCGTTCGGTCAAATATCCGTTGGCCAAATGTCCGTTGGCCAAATGTCCGTCGGCCAAATGTTCGTTGGGCCAAATGTATTTCGGCCAAATGTATCTCGGCCAAATGTCCGTTGGCCAAATATCTCTTGGGTAAATGTCCGTCGGCCGAATGTCAGTTGGATCAAATGTATCTCGGCCAAATGTATCTCGGCCAAATTTCTCTTGGTGAAATATCCGTCGGCCAAATATCCGTCGGCCAAATATCCGGCCATGACGGTTGGATCTATGGGTGGCTCAGAACTGTTAATTGGAGAGCCAAGCTCTAATTCCCGTTTTGTACGTCATATTCACTTACGGGTATTATTATCCAACACCTATTTGCTTCAAAACCCAAATATTAACCTACAAAGCCGAGTCACACCCTTCCATACAGGTATCATGCATAGAATCCACCTCTAAAAAATCTAGAAGAATAGTCAGTTCTTTTTCTAGGTTGACCAAATACCTATCTTCTGCTGCCATTGACATCAAGGTCACTTATTCCTATCGCTCTTTTGAACATTAATGGCAGTTTCTACTTAATTATTTGAAGTAGCATGGAAAGTTAATATCTTCATGATGTCATTATTCTTGCTTCTAGTTACATGTGCTATCCATTTTAGTTCTTACTGCTGTTGGTAGTTCTCAAGTTATGTTGTTTTTTTTTATTTGGTATAATTCTTTGCTAGTGTGTGTGTGTGTGTTTTTTTGTTTTTTTTACTACCCGTCAATAAAATCTGTCGAATGGTTATCTTCTTTATGTAAACAGAGCTCATTCATCTAAAGACATTTTAAATGTTTTTTTTTCTGATAAAAAGCTTTTATATAGCTGATTATTTCTGAACGAGTACGATTCACTTCTCATTTTTTCCTACTTGGTGAACACTGTTAGCGGAACGGTCATGTTTGCACTGTAACAATCAATGGCAGCGAAAGATAGGTATTTCTCAACCTATAAAACACATCATTCTTTCAGCGGAGATGTTTACTTTGTAACCAGAAGAAGAATTCTGATGTGATCAAAAGCTCAAGAGGCCTTTTTCAAAACAATGCATCAAATACATTGACTGCCCAAGGTAAGGAGACTGACAAAGATTTTGACATAAAAAATGCTATTCTGATCAAAGAAAAAAAAATTCACTATGACGAAAATGTTCAGAGAGTGCCTTGACCGCAAGGTCTTCTCTAGTAAATTGGTACCCGGGCTCTTACAAAATTTCACCCTTCCTGGCAAAACTTCTATTATCACAGTGTGGGATATCTACTAATAAAAATGATGGAGAGAAAAAGGAGAAAAATCTTAAATGAATCGGTCAGATTAAAAAAAAAGATAATGCAATGATAACAGCAAAAATTGCGATATGAGCACTTGTAAAAAATAATTGCTGAAGACATTAAGTTTATAAGTCACACAAATTAATACACAGATGTCCTTAAGGACACATGATACAGTGGATAAAGGTGTTGGTTAGATCCACTGAGAAGACCCAAAGATTTGTGAGTTCAATACTTCGAACTTGGGGAGGTGAATAAACAGGATAATTGACATGGATTAGATAAGGCACGTGGAACTAGAACAGTCTACCACAGTGAGCGAAATAAAGGTTCAATTCGATATTCCAACTACCTGAAGAAGGCCGGATCGTACAACGGCCGAAACGTTTATTCTGACAATAGTCAAAATAATGTAGTGTAAAAAAAATAAATTTAAATTTCCCAGCATTTCACGTTCGTCCGCGCCAACATAAAAATGTTGTCCGTTGAAGTCATAAGAATGAAACAAATCACAAAAAAACTTTTTTTTTACAATTTGTAATATTTTGCCCCAATACTGTTTTTGATATATGAAAATATGTATCATTATATTCGTTAGGTTAAATAAAAAAAAAGGAAAGAAAATTTACGTCGCAACGCGTATATTTTCATTGATAAAGAAAAAATGTCAGTGTTTGACATATTCATTGCGCACAATGTTGACGCACTTCTGGTATCGCTCAGCGGGGTTTTTCATCCTTACTAAAAAGAAGCCTTTCGATTGATCACAAAGCAACGCCTGCACCACTTGCTTCTTTGGGCACATAACACAAACAAATACTACGGTGCCCAAGTCATCATACATTATGCCTTGTTAAGATGCATAGCTGATGCCAATAATTGTGTTAAATTGATTCGTCGTTAATCAAAGGTCAAGGCAATTATTATCTCTCAAGTCATTTATACATTATTTGTTGTATGTGATTTCTCATATTTGAAGGCAGATCGATCTCATTTCAAACTAAATTCTACCATTTCTAACGACTCTCTCAAATCAATTATACATTAATTTTTGTATATGATCACTTATATTTGGATCTAGATTCGAAGTGATTTCAAACTACACTCAACCATTTCCATTCATTCTCTGAAATTATTTATGCATTATTTTTCGTTTATGATTTCTTATATATAAAGGTATATTCGAAGAGGTTTCAAACTCCCTTCAACTATTTTCCAATTAATCTCATAAATCATTTGTACATTAATTCATGTAAACGATTCTTATATTTGAACGTAGATTCGAAGTGATTTCAAACTAATCCCGACCATTTCCAATCACTCTCTAAAACAATTGATAGATTAATACACATATATAATTTCTAACATTTGGAACGTAGATACGAAGTCAGTTCAAACTACTCTGTACCATTTCTATTCACTCTTTCAAATCTGAGAATACCTTGTATTATTTACTTTCGTAACGGTGACATTTTAACTAAAAGGGAAAGGAAAAGGAGGCTTATATAAAAAAATAAACGCTTGAGATTTCAGGAGCACAAAATGAGGAAAGAAGGCTTGGAAGATTTGATACGCTTACTAAATAATGTATGAAAAAGTAAAAGCAAAATGAAACAGCCAGCCTGTGTTAATGGATGACAGAACATGGGGAGATAGTAAAGTAACAAACATTACTTAGATCTACAATGGATAGGATGCTGTGGAGAGCCATGATCGCCCGCGACCTGAAGGGACAGAGAAAACAGTGAATAACCTACCTAAAGAGGTGTGTTAATGGATAGCAGAATATGCTCTGAGAACGATAGTAAAATGACAACCATAAGTGAGAGCTGCAAAGTATAGGAAGTTGTGGAGGGCAATGATTGCCTTCGTCCTGAAGGGACAGATGAAAACAGAGTGTAACCTGCCTAAGGAACCTGTGTTAATGGATAGCAGAACATGGACTGGGAGCGATACTAAAAGGATTACTTAGAGATAAAAAAGATAGAAAGTTGTGGAGGGCCATGATCGCACTCGTTTTGAAGGGACAGAGGGAAACAGCGAGTAATCTAGCTAACAAGTTTGTGTTCATGGATGGCATGAACTGGGAATAAAGGGACAAATATTACTTAGATGAATAAAGGATAGGAAGTTGTGGAGATCCATGATCCTCCATGTCCCGAAGGGAAGCGCTAAGTAACCTACCTAATGATCTTGTTTTAATGGATAGCAGAACATTTACTGGAAACGATAGTAAAAGGATAAACATTGCTTAGATCTACACAAGATGAGAAGTTGTGGAGAGAGCCAAGTTTTGAAGGGATAAAGGCAAGCATCAAGTAACCTCATTTAATGATCTTGTGTAAATGGATGGCAGGGCTGGAACTGGGAGGAATGGTAAAAAATATAGATATTATTAAGAGCTTCAAGGAGAAAGAAAGTTGTACAGGGCCATGATCTTAAACGATATTTTCTATTCACTTACCCTTTCATCGTCCTTTGTGAATAAGTTGTTTTCGCCTTCTCCACGTTTATTGATGATTTGAGCGACTCCTACTATCTCGTCTCCGGCGTTTCTGATTGGCATGCAAAGTAATGAAGTTGCTTTGTAGCCCATTATCCTGTCCACGTCGTCGTTATATCGTGGATCCTGCAAAAAAGTAAACAAATAAATTAGAAAATCATATTTTGTAATTGCCCCTCTCTTCGTTAGTTCACACGAACGTTATCCCTTGCTAATATCACATAAATAATGAACTATTCTGTTTTGATCGGGTAGAACGAGTGGAAAGACCTATCAGGGACGCTACTTGGTTTCAGTAAGAAAATAAAAAGGAAGGAAGGAAGATAGAAGCATAAATACTTCTATCTTCCTACGTCTCCTGTCAATATCTCCTAAATAATGGACTATTCCGTTTTGATAGTGTGGAAGGAGGAGAAAGATATATCAGAGACGCTGCTTGGTTTCAGTGAGAAAATAAAAAAAGGAAAGAAGGAAGGAAGGAAGGAAGGAAAATAGAAGTATTTAACGTCTTCTGTCAATATCTTCTAAATAATAGACTATTCCGTTTTGATAATATAGAAGTAGGGGAAAAGACATATCAGAGACGCTGCTTGGTTTCAGTGAGAAAATAAAAAAAGGAAGGAAGGAAGGAAGGAAGGAAAATAGAAGTATTTAACGTCTTCTGTCAATATCTTCTAAATAATAGACTATTCCGTTTTGATAATATAGAAGTAGGGGAAAAGACATATCAGAGACGCTGCTTGGTTTCAGTGAGAAAATAAAAAAAGGAAGGAAGGAAGGAAGGAAGGAAAATAGAAGTATTTAACGTCTTCTGTCAATATCTTCTAAATAATAGACTATTCCGTTTTGATAATATAGAAGTAGGGGAAAAGACATATCAGAGATGCTGCTTGGTTTCAGTGAAAAAATAAAAGAAAGAAAGAATGCAGGGAAGATACATATGCTTAACGTCTGCTTCAGTGAAATAGAAAAGTTGTCAAATTCATATCTTTTCATTTGTACCCACTTCTTAAAATAATGACCAGCATTCACATTTATGATTGCTATTGCATTATTTTGTTAAAGATCAAATATTTAACGTTGCGATAGTGGAATTTCTAAGGATATTTTATTGTCATAGAAATCGCCATGAGCTTATTCAGTCATTAAATTAAAAATTAAGATCCATCAGAATATTAAAATAAAAAAAACCTTGAAATTGTCACAAACTAGTAAAGACATAAATGTCCTGCGGTAAAATGTGTGTTCAAATGGTACCGTTTCTTGGATTTAAACAAAGCGTATTTCACAAAACATATGCCATATATGAGTGCTACTGTTACCCTGAAATAAAATACTACCTGTCACATAATCGGGACATCGGCAAAGTATATCACCTCGCCTAAGAAATCTTTCAAAGGTCATATAAGCCATATTTAACGGTTAATGGTCATCTATCACGATGGGGGTAGAATGGGCTTCATAGCTATGTAATGGAGCTGGTGCAATGAGGACATAGCATTGCTGGGTGGAGGGCTTCCTAGACTAAAGTTAATTTCCAGAACCGGGTGGGTGTTGAAGCAAATAATTTTTCTACTTTTATTTCTAAACCTACATCCCACTAGGGATGGGGGTTTAATCTTCTCTCTTTTTATGTGCTATGTCCTTTCAGGACGTAGGCGATCATGGCTCTCCCCTCCCTCTATCCCTTGCAGCTCTCAAGTAGCTCCTTCCCTCTGCTTCCTCCCCACCCCCCGGACCTCGATCTGTCATCCACTTGCTTAAACCCGCCAGGTATGTCACACGTGGTTTTCCCTTGTCTCTCTTTCCCTCTATTCGATCGGTGAGTATCAGATTCTTCAGGCCCTCTTTCTCATTATGTGGTTGGGTAAATAAGATAACTTAATTTTGAAACCACTTTTTTGGAGAGCCTTTTCATGCGGGTCTTTATTTTTATTTAAAAAATGTTTTCGTTGGACAATAATTTACTAATTCTGGTACAAACGCTGGTTGGTATTTGTTTCAGGATGGCATTGGGGTGGTTAGAACTAACATTAATATAATTGAGTGTTTCATTCACTTTATGGTAGGGTTTAAAGGTTTTATCACTTAGGTTAAGGGTTATGTTTAGGTAATCCACTATTTTAAGGTTAGAAAAATTTTCAATCTTAAGCCCTAGTAATTTAAAGCCCGTAATGATTTTCTTTTGTGACATATATGTATGTATGTATATAATCACTTATTCGAAAATTATAACATAAAAATATTATAAAATCACTAGAAGTCTTGAAACAAAATCGTTATTTTTGTTGTGATTTTATAACATTTTTATGTTATAATTTTCGAATAAGTGATTATATTTTATTTGTTCTACTCTGTATTGAGCACTCTTTTAAGAATAGTATTTGTTGTTTACTGGAATTTATTCCGTATACACTAATCCTATACTTGGTGTATATATATATATATATATATATATATACTCGACTCTCCCGTCGGATTCGACGTATGAGGGTCAAGCAGATCTTAGGAAACCGACCTCCCGACAACAGAACATGAGATTTGATTATAGTGATGAAGGTTTCGTGCAGGACCATCCACACTTTTTGAAGGGCTGAATACAGAGACCTGGTGCGCTACGTGTCACAAGGTTCTCAAACGACCCTCCGCAGGTTTTTGAATTCAGAGTTGTCCTTTTACTAGACCAGTTGCCATCCAAGGCTATAGAACCCAGTCTGTCCTGCTATTTACCGATAGCTGGAAAAGGAGAAGAAAGAATTCATAACTTTCCCAAGGGTATTCGCGCAAGTGAATGTAATGGATTCGACTGGAATTCGAACTCGGCTCTCCGATTCCTCAATTCGCTATCCATTACTCCACCGTGTGTGTGTGTGTGTGTGTGTGTATATTTTTCCCTGGTCTCGCCCATTGTTTTCGACGCTTGAGGGTACATCAACTCAGTTCTTCGAACTGAACTGCTACCTATGATGTATCGTGGTTAAGGCTTTTGTAGAAACAACTACACTTTTTGGAAGAGCCGTATATAGAGAACTGATACACGAGGTTCCAGAACGGCCTGCCTGAGCGCTTGAATTCGAAGTTGTCCTTCTCATAATCAATCAAGGCTCTAGGACCCTGTCTGTTCTGCTATTTACCCATAGATGGTGGATGGATTCATATATTTCCCAGGGATATTTGCACGGGAATCTAATGAACGCGACTGGAACTCTGCTCTCTGGTTCCTTCATCCAAACGGCTATCCATCACTGCACCGTTCTCTCAATTTTCTTTCAGATAATCTTCATGGTAAATAATAGATAGTCTGATGGAAAAAGCAAGCAGCGTGTTACTTTAGCCATAACCCTCTGTCTTTTCTATAAATATTATCGCGGCATCTATTCTGATGAGCTTTTATTTCCCTGGTGCCCCGACTGTATTAGTTTAAGCGTGCTACTATATTGACAACCAGATCTCACCGTTCTACTGCTGAACTAAGTGCAGCTGCCACTTTTACTCTAACAGTTTATTTTCTCGCTTTATACACATGTGGAACTCCCACCAGATTTCTTGCTTCCCTGATAACTGCAATCTTAAAAATTTAAGTGCAATGTCAATCGCTATATTCTGCCTTATTGAACCTTGTTCATTTTTTCTCTTTTCCTCAGTCCTCGCCATTCTCAGACTACACATTCTCTTTCGCTTTCACTCCTTGCAACCCTCTTCGGTTTAGTGGCATTATTGCCTTTCTTAGAGTGAAACGATTAAAAAAAACGAAAAAAAACAATTTGAATATATGTCTAAATGATTTTCATATGGCGTCTTATCACCATGAAAATCATTCTAAAACCACGTATACTGCAGCTAAAATAGCAGTGATTTGTCGCTTTCTGATCAAAAGCAAAAATATCATTTCCGTCCCAATTTTCTTTCATGTTCGCTCGTTGCTTACATATTTCCTCCATCATATTGTCAACATCCTTCTGTCTCAGTTGCCGAAAGTCGTGTCATCATCTGTGAGGAGATTTAGATAATTCAATGGCATATAATACAATTGGTAATATATAACTCTTCAGTAGTCTGTTTCTTTAATACTTTGTTTAGATTCTAAAAGACAACTTTATTTTCTATTCACCTTTGAACTTTCTCATTACACACATATTAACTCAATGGTATTCTCAAAAGTTTTTCGGTAAAACAACATCTCGATTGGTTACTTATATGAGGAGATTGTCCAGCATTCACTGCCACATAAGGACGATTGATATTGCATAAAATTTTAACGCTCTTATGTTCATATTAATTACAATTTAGATGGTCAATTTCTTTTTTTTTTTATAAATGAACAGATGCTACCTTTTGATCTCTGCTACACATATTTAAATATGCAACCACGGTCCTTTCTATATTTCTGAGATGAGGTAATATGTATACTATTTACATTATTCGGACTGTTGTCCTCATATTTGTCGCCATATTTATTACAACGTTTCGGCCCTTCAATATCTGTATATATTTCTGAGATGAGGTATTATGTACACTATTTACATTATTCGGACTATTGTCCTCATATTTGTTGCCATTGTTATCACAATGTCTCGGCCGTTGTACGCTCCAGCCTTCTTCAGGTGGTTGGAACATCGAACTGAACCCTTTATTTAGCTCGCTGGAGTAAACTGTTCTAAACTGGCTGGAGTAAACGAGCCATGTCTAAAGGATGTCAGATATCAGTTTTCTTCTGTTAATTTACCTCTCCAATTCCTCCACTGCCTCAACCACGTATTGAACTCACAACCCTTTGGGTCCTGTTACGTGGCACGTGCAACTAGAACAGTCTACCTCAGCAAGCGAAATGAAGGGTTCAGTTCGACATTCCAACCACCTGAAGAAGGCCGGTGCGTACAACGGCTGAAACGTTGTGAGAAATGCGGCAACAAAGATGAAGACAATAGTCCGAATAATGTAAGCAGTGTAACCACAGCCTTCTTCCGCAGGCGTTTAACAGTACGCAAAATGAATTATAAAAAAAAATACATTTCCGTCCGGTTCAGAAATATTAATTACCCAAGTGACATTGATTAATAAGTTCATTAAAATGAAGAAGAGATTTTTTTGTT